ACCCCTGGATAAAGCAGAAAGTTAGCAACCCCTAATACTGTTTCTTCTTTGCTGACTTCTCCACTTTCTTTTGCTGGAAGCTCCACACTTATTTTCTTAAACACACAAAAACTGTCATTGTGTTTGCAAGAAAGGGAAATGAGCCATAAAACTCTCCATTTTAGGTAGGTTTGATGGCAGGTGTTATCAACCACGCCTGAAAAATAAGGTCTGATATGGAGAAAATGGGATGAATAAAATTTTCTCTGTGCATTGCTTCTCTCTCTCTCAAAAAAAAAGGTAGGTATAAATGCAACAACTAAAACTTTTTTTTTTAGGAAACTACAAGTTTTATTAGGGTATTATGCAAATTTAAAAACATGGAAAAAAGGAACTGAATTATAATGAGTCAAGCTATTGGCTCCACTAATTCTAAATCCTGGAGTCCTTGATGCATGCAGCATGGTGGTTTGCTGTAGATGTTTCATTATCCAAATAGGTAATATTATTAATACTCCACAGTTCAACCCAGTGGCGGGCTGCAACTGGTTTAACAATCAGTTCTATGAGTGCAAGCTTGCAGGCCTAACGCACAAGTGCACTGCATTAAAAATACAGCAATTTGAAGCTCAGCTGCTTACCTTCTATGGCAGCCCCAGTAAGTAGAACAGTGGAGGTGCAGAAATCAGCTGTGCTGCGTGAATCAGCTGAGCCAGAAAGAAGGAAATATAGGATAGGATAAGATAAGATAGGGCGGGGGGTGAAATGATAAAAATGATTTAAATGTTTTATTTGCAAGAAGAAAAGCAGAAAAAATACATTGGTAAAAGTAAAAAAGACAAAGGATTAGAAGATTGTTTGAGTAAAGATTTGAAGGAAGAAAGGGAACAAGATGAAATATACTGTTAATAATTAAAAGGACAAGGGATCGAGGTTGCCTGGACTCCACAATGGAAAATAATAAATTGAAAATGAGTACAGCAATAGAGAGAGATGAAGGAGGAGAAGAGAGTTGGAAGGAAAGAGGAAAGAGAGAGAGGGATGGAAGAGTAGGGAGGAAGGAAGGGAAGGGAAATTAGAGTAGGAGAGAAGGTAAGACAGGGGGGAAGAGAGGAGGAGAAGGAGAAGGGAAGGGGAAGTAGAGAAGAGAAGAAAAGGATGGGGAAAGAAAGTAGGAAGGGATAGGGAAGAGGGAGAGGGTAGGTTTGAGGAGAAAGATTGCTGTACAATAAAAAAAAATGAAGCGGAAGAAAGGCAACTCCGAACAAACAAATATAAATATATTAAGATAAAGAATGAATTGTTTAAGAATAAAAGAGGATAAATATGAATAAACAGTAAAGTTAGAATCTAGGGGCAAATGAAGATGGTGTTTATGTATGCAAGCATAGAAATATTGAGATATGTTTTAAAAAAGAAAAGGGGGGAAGACAATTTTGTCAAGAATTGTAATTTAGTAAAATATATTTGAATTTGATTAATTGTATAAGATAAGATAAGAAGTGGCCAACACTGTTTTAAAAGAAAAAGATGTGGGTGAATGTGAGGAGAGGAGAAAAAACCCAATAAAACTTGTTTGTTTGTTTGTTTTTTAAAAAAGGATAGGACAGGGGTGGGTGGGTGGGCGGGGCCATCTGATTGTCAGAACTACAGGTTCACTAGAACCGGTCCGAATTGGCAGCAGCCCACCATTGATTCAACCCTAATTATATATATATTCTCTTCTATTGAAATTCTAAAGTTTTAGCTGATCAGTTTTTAAAAAATCCAAGTTTTACAGGATTTCAGGGAAATTTTTTTTTCCAGTGTTACTGTGTTTCCCCGAAAATAAGACCCTGTCTTATATTTTTTTGAACCCTGAAATAAGAGCTTGGCCTTATGGCCATGCACTCAAAAGCCCGATTCGGCTTATTATCAGGGGATGTCTTATTTTGGGGGAAACAGGGTACTTGGAGATACAAGAAAATGTACAAATAATCTTGACTTACAACCATTCATTTAGTGACAGTTCAAGTTACCACAGCACTGAAAAATGTGAGTTATGACCATTTTTCACACTTATGACCATTTCAGCATCCCCATGTCACATAATTAAAATTTGGGCATTTGGCAACTGGCAAATGACAGTGACAGTATCCTGAGATCATGTGATCACCTTCTGGCAAACAAAGTCAATGGGGGAAGGCAGATTCTCATAACCAGCATGTTACTAACTTAACAACACAGTGAATCACTTAACAACTGAGGCAAGAAAGGTCATAAAATGCAGCAAAACTCACTTAACAACTGTCTTGTTTACCAGTGGAAATTTGGGGCTCAGTTGAGGTTGTAAGTCAAGGACTACCTATTTTAGGTATTTTAACTCTTCTATCTGCAAAACATTATTCTACCATTGAATTATCAACATATTTTGTGTTGTTCTGGGACTAGTCCACTGAATAGCTGTTATATGAGATTGTACTTTAAAGAACAATGTCCAATCCTTTGAACAATATCAATATAGAAAGTGCTAACTAGACCAAATGGGATGATTTCAAAAATTATCTTTGTTGAAATAAGCATTCATTTTTTGAATGTATTACATATACATTCAAAATTTGATATACACTTAACATTTGATGTGTGTGTGTGTGTGTGTGTGTGTGTGTGTGTGTATAATGGCATATTCTATGTCCTTTCTATCTCTAAATATGAACATACATGCACATAAATGTGGTTGTTCAACTCCCTCCCGCTTGTGTTCAGACCTATGGTATATACAAATATACATCTCAGTCTAGTTATTTATTGGTGAACTTTTTGCCTTCACACATATTTACATGCCTGCTCACCCACATGTACACACCCATTAACTTGCCAAAGGTAGCACCCACACAAACTTCTCTTCAAATTCTTAGCCACTGTCTTACTGTGATCATCTGTAGTCACAACTGCCAAATCCCAGAAATATTGCTACAAAAACAACCTCATGCTCCAATTTCTACATTTAGCAGCCCAACTATAAATTTCTAGACATCTCCTAAATACCTAAATAGTAAGCAAATGTCAATGCTATCTTCTACATTTTTGCATATTTAAATGGACAAAAAAAAAATCTTGGGGAAGTTTAGAAAGCTGAAAGTTGTGACTCACACAAGGGGGGATGGCCATTCATATTTTTCTTTGTAAAGTTCTGTATTTCTTTCCCCTTTGAAACTAATAATAACTTATACAGGAGACATATGCTCTAAGAACAAGCAGATAAAAAGCCACAGCTGTTATGCTGTGTGATTTGTCCTTGAAGAAGCAGGTGTACTTAGTATTTATTTAATTGGAAGGGTGTCTATACTTCCATATTTTCAGGTGAGTTTCATAAAGGCAAATTTCAAAGATATCTTCAAAGTTAGAGGAGTAAAGAATTAGATGGTAACATATAGGCACATTACCCTTTGCAGGGGTCCTTCCCTAGAAGCTGCTCTTCGCATTGGAAAGAAATTTCCAATAGCACTGAGATCAATTCTGCAAATGGTTACTGATTTGCCAAACAAATGTGGTTATCAATCCATGTTAAGCTTGGAGGTTTGGGGTTAGGCTTTTCTCTTAGATTTCATGTCTCTATGCCTAGAAAAACATACGTCTGTGGGGCGCCCAGCATTTGGAATAGTGTTTCACAAAGCCAAGGACTTCCCAACATAGCTTCTTTTATGCCATTGTAGTGAAATGCGGTTGTGAGACCTAGCTTATCCTTTTGAAAATATATGTCTATTTTTTAAAAAAACCTCCAATTTAAAAAAAATACATTTGGTCTTAAAAGTTGAATGTGAACAATTTTCAAATCCAGACTTTTGTTATGTTTTGAGTTTGGAAGATACTTTCCTCGGCTGTTTCTCACTCTATTCAAAACTATAAGAAATACATACATACATACAAATCAAAATTTGCTCATATAGTCCAAATTCTTTACCTACCTACCTATCATCTATCTATCTATCTATCTATCTATCTATCTATCTATCTATCTATCTATCTATCTATCATAAGGGATCTTCCATTTATATTACACCAGGGTGATGCAATGGTCACGACAACTTGAATATCAGATCAGATCCAAACTTAGCCAAGAATTCCCTGAATGTGTTATATCTTGATTTTGTTCGTTATCTGTAACATTTTGATCTATCTAAGGAGGTGATTAAGAGATGAGGAAACATGTTTCCCAAAACCCAATTTTAAAAGTTTATTATGATGGAAGTCCTGAAAATAATAAATAATAGAATCCAGCAAATAATTAAATTACACTCCATTGCTCTTAACAGAATGTAGTCAAAGATAATTTTAACTTTTTAAAAATCTATTTGCTTTTGTTGGGGTGGGGGCTAATGAACATTTATATTGTACTTCCCAAATGAATAATGGTGGCATAATCAAGTGTTAAGGAGATGCAAAAGAATGGCTATTTTATTTTATTTTTAAAGACATAATGCCCGTGTGTGTGTGTGTGTGTGTGTGTGTGTGTGTGTGTGTGTGTGTGTGATTTTAGAAACCCCAGCTGGAATAGAACACATAGGTCTTTTGGAAGTAGGCCACCCACAAATAGAAAATATTTGTCAGTTCCTAAATCTGAAATGCACCTTAATGTAGATGAACAAAATATGCTTCTCAGCACATCCACAAGCGAATTTCCCCATTTCTTTCCCCCTTTCAATATATACTTCCCCCTGCCATCCTGCTAAATCTTTTTCCCCAAATAAAGAGGGGGAGGGGGTTGAAGAGAATCCCCTACTTCTGGCATCTCACGGAGTTCCACGTTCTCAGGAGAAGAAGGAGAAAGAGGTGCTTGTGGGGGTAGTAGTGGGAGCGTATTTATTTTCTAATCCATTCTTTTTTAAAAAAAAAAAAGTATAGAGAGATAGGAAGAGACAGAGGGCGGGAGGGGAAGAGCATGTTTTGCCTTTAAGGCAATATTTCTGGAGCCAATCGGAATGTAGCATCCACCCTTCTCTGCTCCTTAATTAGAGGGTTTAAGCAAGCTGGCTCGGTTGAATTTCTTACACATTTTCTCTTGAGGACGGCAGTAGCAAGAGCAGCAGCAGCGGAGGCAGCAGAAGAAGCAACTGCAACAATTCTTGGAACCATGGCTGAGTAAAAAGACAACTCAACAGGAGGTGAAGGTGGAAAGGATTTGCTCCAGTTAGTTAGTTCTTTCGTTTTCTGGATCAAGCTGTGAACCTTCCATTGGTGAGCTCTTCTCATCATGAGTGGGCCCTTTGATAAGAAGATTAGCAGCATTTTGACTGACCTTTCCAGCTCAATCAGTTGCCAACCAGGCACCAAAGATTCTCCTACGCTTCCTGAATCGTCCATCACGGACCTGGGATACTACAGCACCCCTCATGCTCAGCATGAATATTACCCCAGCCAGCCTTATACTCAGCCTATGAATCCCTATGCATACCACCCCCAGTTTAACTTCAATGGGATGGGGGCGACGGGGACATACTCCCCCAAACCTGACTATCCTTACAGCACTTCATATAGGCAATATGGACCTTTCCGGGACCAGCAGTTACCGAGCCAAGAAACAGGTAAGGAAGTTTTTTTTATCAAAATCCAGAGTATGCGAGTTTGAGTGGATGACTGTCCCTGTTTTGGGCTTCAGGGAAATTAAATGTCTTGAAATCTCTTGGAATGTTTCCCCAACTCTGTTGGGGACATTTTAAACAATGTTGTATGAATATGTGAATGAGTGTGTATGAGAGAGATACTCCCTTGCCAGAAAGTATTGTCCTAGTGGAAAGAAATGAATGGTGTCCCTTTGTGTTGTTACATACAAAACATCCAAACTTTTCTGGTACTAACCATGATTAAATCATTGAATGGCATTCTGTTCTTCCTTCCCCAGGTCTTCCTTCAGAGTTTTGTGCTTCATATAAAACATACACACAATTCACCTGTGAAAGGCAATTAAGGCACACGTGAAATCAATTTTCCTCCTTTCTTTTTCCCTTGCCCAATTCAGATCTGTGTTTTGCTTCTTGCGTCAGAAAGACTTAAACAGCCTTTCTCCCCCTTTCCCTTTAACTATTTTTTCTGTGTTCCTGGGTGAGAAAAGATCTGCACGGTTTTTTCCAATTTTGTATGTTAGTTTATGGCTTATTTTTTAATTTGCAAAGTGCAAATGCTACTGTTGCAACAATACCTTAAATTCCATCTTTTGTTTAAGGAAAGGGGGGGGCGTTTGAATTTTTTTCTTAAAGAAAAAATAATGCTAAGCCTGAAACTTTTTTTCCTAAGGCAAAAAAAAATCTAGTTTCCCCTTCTCCTTAAAAAAAAACCAACCCCCACATTTTTCTAAAACAGTATTTTGCCAAATGTGCTAATTTTTTTTAGTAGCTTGTTTCTCTCCCACACAGAGACCTGTGATGTGTGCAAAACTTGTTATTTTGCTGGTTAAAATCTTGATACCAGCACCCACAATTTGATGCGTGTGAGGGCATCTGTTTATTTTTATGAATTAAAAAAGAGAGAAAGGAGTAACTTAAAAGTTGGAAAAGTGAAAGACAGAATACACAACTGTGAAAATAATGCTGTAAACATGAAAATGATGAATTCTATCTTTAAACAGAACTGGCATGTAGATTTTGGCTACAACCGTCTGAGGCCTTTAACTTACGCCCTCATTCCCCACAAATATTTCAGGAAGGGAATATGGGGTTGTGTGGTTCCAACTGTCCCGATGTAACCAGACAATGCTTCCTGCCAAGGAGGAAAAAAATACATCAAATACATCTAGTGAGGCAGAAAATAAATTGTTTAAAAAAAAAAAAACAGGAGCTGGGTCAAAATGGAAGAATGGAGAAGTCAATTTTTGAGATAGAAAGTTTTAAGACAGAGCAAAGCAGCTACGCTGTATCCTGCAGTGTACATCTGTTGAACTCTAACTTGATCCTTTTAAAAAAATCACCAAGGGAACAAAAAAAAAAAAAAAAAGGGTAGGGGGGGGTGGGGGGGGGGGGAGAAAAAAAAAAACCTAAAAAAAAAAAAAAAAAAGGGGAAAAAAAAAAAAAAAAAGGGGGTGGGGGGGGGGGGGGGAAAGATATTGAACAAAAGAAGGAAGGAGAATTAAAATTTTATTTTCAAAAATCTTTTTTTTTTTTTAGTGGAATTCCACCTTGTCCTAATTGTTCAGTAAATTGGATAGTAGAAAGCCTCTGAACTTTAGTTTATTCTGATTTATACCAACAAGCAAGCAATGATTGATTCAAACTAGCTTCATACAAACTACGCATAGCTGCCCTTTGATAAGAGTTATGTATGAGTAAATTACACCAAGAGGCTTAGTTTTAACATATTTGCTCAGCACATCTCCTGCAGAATCCTTTGCACAGTCCTTTAAGACCCTCTTTCATCCTTAGTCTGAATCTCCATGGAAGAGAGAATTATCCTTGCTAGATAGGAATGTGGAAGTGGAAGTGGTAAGATAAAGGCAGATGCTGGCTGCGTCTTTCAGCATCTTGTTTGTACTCCGTAAGTGCGGAGAAAGAAACCAGACAATAGGGAGATGGATAGCAAGTCCTTGAAATTATTTCAAGGACAGATTATTCTGTGTGACATTGCTGGTAATTAATAGAAGCAATTGATGTATCCTTGAAAAGAGCAAAAGTTTATAATTATAGGATAATTATAGTAAATTGCTTTTCTTAAAGGGATCATTCTTTCATCACATAAATCAAATTGTCCTTCATGGTCCTATCCAGCAGTTCAGCAGCTGAGAATTAGTATTCCTCTGCTGGAACAAAGCACGGATTCTGCAGCTGGAGCAGATAAAGTTATTTTATCAAAGCAAAGGTTTAGAAACCAGCAGTATTTTCTTTTTGAGCGTCACTGCAACACCTCCTTCTGCTATTTGGATTCTTTCCCCCAGCACATTTCTTTTGTCTCACTTTTGTAGTTGCAGTGAAGGAAGAACCTGAACCTGAAGTGCGAATGGTCAATGGAAAAGCGAAAAAAATCAGAAAGCCTCGCACAATTTATTCTAGTTACCAGCTGGCTGCTTTGCAAAGGAGATTCCAAAAGGCACAGTACCTAGCATTGCCAGAGAGGGCAGAATTGGCTGCACAACTTGGACTGACCCAGACTCAGGTAAAACTTTAGAAACAGGAAGGGAGACTAATCAGAAGACAGAAAAAGTGCACGTTCTGTTTTGTTTAGCCTTTCATCTTTATTTTGGGAACGTGAGTGTAAAGAAATGTACATCCTTGAAACTCTGCCCCCCCCCCAAAAAAAATTCAGGGAGCTAGAAAATGTAGTGCTTTAGACCTCGAAAATTAGGAAAAATCCACAGTGTATTTTGAAAAAAGGAAAAGAGCAAGTTAAATTTAAAAACCCAAGGATAACAATTAATTTCAGATGCTCTGTCTAACTTTCAGTCATTTTATTTTTTACTTATTTCATAATCATTTGGGGTTTTCAGACTGGTTGAATTCAAAACAGTTCACCAACATCTAGTTATTGAAGTTCCTCCGATTTATCCATTCTTCTCTTTTCTTTGAGTTTTGTAAATGGTTTTTCCATATTTGCCTTCTTGCTTCTTTAAATATGCCACTTTATCTGTGTGTACACGTGGGTTTAAAAACAAGAGAGTCTGCTGTTTTTCAACACTGTTAACCATTTACAGTAGATAACTGCATGCGGAGAAGTTAAAATGTGTGGATTCTATGATAACACAATATTGATTTAGGATGAAGGGGATCGCAGATATGAGGTGGTGAGTTCCTCTGTTGTCATATAGAAGACAAACATTATGTCTTTTATGATGACAATAATTCTAATTAGAGAAAGCATGAGCTACCATATGTACAAAATGTAATAATGGAACCACGGTAAGCAAGCTGGGGCAGAACAAAGATGGGAAGGAGTGAAGTCATTTTTCTCTGTCCTTTTAGTCCTGTAGCCTACTTGTACCTGGCTGCAACCCAAAGATCCAGAATGGTATGCTGACTAGCCAGAGAGGCGGAGGAGCATTGCTGCAGGAAACATGTGGGTGGGGCAAGGCAACCTACAGTATGTGTTTTGGCAGGTTCCCCCTTTTTTCCTCCTGAAGCTAACTGAGCTTAGGCCAAGAGAATTGATGACTGTGAGAAGGAAGTTGGCTTGAGTGGAAAAAGAATCCATTGTTAGCCTTTAAATGAACATCAGCAGGCCAACTGGTTATTGTGGGCCTCGGTGAGTCTAAGGGCTGCTAGTTGCCATTTGACAGAAGGAACAATATTCCATGTACTATGTTTTTATTTACTGTGGATAGATGTTTCTTTTCAAAAACACACACACACACACAGGTCTTTTGCACCTTGAAAAGGGATCTCAAACTCACATTTTGCAAAGCGGGAACTACTGTCGAAAGACAGTTAAGATGCAGAAAATCTTAATGGGTTCACTTTTCAGAACTGTGCTGAAGAGGGAATTTTAGGAAGTCCTTATTTCTATGCAAACTCCACTTGCCTGAATTTCCCTCTTCTTGCTTAGCTGTCCATGGTGAGAAGACACAGCTTCTTCGCCACTTCTCTGCCTGGGAAACAACAATTCACCAAAGTGCAGGTTAAGATGACAAGGTGGGTCTAGGGATTCTTGTTCAGGAGTGCCTTGCTCAGAATCTCTCCAGATCTCCTGGACTTCAGTTCCCAGTTTCTCTAGCAGGCCTCGCTGGTAGACATTGCCCATTTTTTTTGTAAAAATAGAAGCCATAGAGCCATTACACCACTGTATTAAATTTACTGATTTGAGTGGTATTTCACTTTTTCTTAATTGCCTCAGAGCAAAGTTACAATCTTTTGCAAAATTACTTGGGAGCAATTAAGATGCAGAAGAGTTCTGGGAAATCATGAATGGATACATGAGCCTGCAGTCTTAGTACATTTACCTTGGAGCCTAGCTACTCAGTGTATTGTATTTCCAAACAAGCATGGATAAGATCTGTCAGATTGAAAATATTTCTAAAGTTCTTCATTTTTTTTGATAAGAGCTAAAACAATGAGGTAATATATATATGGAACTGAATGCGGCCTTTTTAAAGTAACATTCGGTACTCATCTTTTCCTTAGGAAAAAATAGCCGGACTCAAGTAAAACAGCACTACGGGCAAAATAAAAATACTAGTTTTCAAATACATGAAACCATTCAGAAGTGACTACTAACTTTGTTTGTAATTCTATAGATATTGCCCAGGAATAAATCTAAAAATAAGTAATTCTTACTTTTAATGATATCTCTATTTGGGGAATGTAGGCAGAATTGGTAATAGCATTTTCTTTTTTTTTATCAACAAAGTAGTGGAAAGGAAACTGTCTAATTTTCCAAAGCAAGACCTAGGGGATGGGTTCCCACATGCTGGCTTTAACCCAAGGGTGGGTTTTTTATTTTTTTTTAAAAAAGTTTTAATTGGTGACTTAGCTGTATCTTCATTTGGTTAATTTATATGCTAGTGTATTGTGAGAATTCAGAAAATGGATTAATTGAATACTGAAGCACAATGCATAAACGTAGCCAGTAGGCACACAAGTTTTCACTATAATTATAAGTGTTTTTAAAATACATAAATACCTTCTTGCAACATCCAGTGGGATAATAAAGCAAGATGCATCTTTCACTGTTCCCTTTGGCTTTATTCAAGGATACGCTGAACTATAAATGGTTTATACCGATTAAGTTTACACGACGACATGGTCAATTTTATTTTAGCTTGACATGTTGTGAGAGCCCAAGCTACTTGTCTCTGCTATATAGGCAATTTATAATCCAGAGAAAATTAATGGTTTACCTAAAAATAGCAATGGGAAACAAAGACAATCCATCAAATATCTAAGGCAGACCAGACAACTTAGATTTGTAGGGAAGATTTTTGGGTCCAACATTAGGCTACTATCCTTTTATCCAAATGTCTCCTCTCATTTATCGTAATGCTCAGTCAACTGAATTCAAAATGAAGCCAAAAGAAAAGGGAAGAACAGAAGGAACAACAGGCATACGCCATCCCCAAACAAACTCTTATATTTTCATCTGTAGCCCTTGATGCTATATGTGAGGTTGTATGGCCCTAGAATGAAACAGGATTGCAAGTTTAGGAGTTTAATACAAGGCTAAAACTAGATGGGTCTGAAAATTCCCTTTAATAAATGAATAAATAAATATATATGAGGTTAGACATACCATCTCTTGCCTGCAAAAATCCAGGCAACCATGAGAAGGCAGCCAAGAGATACAAGAAACTTTACTGCCATCTAGTAGTCATCCAGATTAATGCAGCCTAGATATGTCTACATGAAAGAAAAAGAAAAATAATACACAAGGATGGATTGTCAAAAAGTGACTTCTTAGGCAGGGATGAAATAAGAGTAAAATATATTTTTTGATTGTCAGGGCTTAACTTTTAATCAGAATGTCATTCAATAATAATGTAAAAATTATAATACAATTAAAATATATTTTTTTAAAAAACCCTAAACTGAGCCTATCCTCACTAGATTCTTCAATCTTAGAATCTATTAAATTATATGAAAAGTATCATCTATAACAAGAATGCTTTTTTCACCATTCATTTTTTTGCAGATTGTTCTGAAATAACTTGAACTAGATGGTCATCTTAGGTTTTAAATATTTAACACATTTCTATAAAAAGAAATCCATATGAGTAATATGTGTATTTATATTTAGTTCCATAGCTAACTATTAAAGATCCTCAAAGTAAAATATTATATCTTTTGGATATGTTGGCTTGAAATTGGTTTAGATCAGGGTGAAATGCTCCCGGTTCGGACCGGATTGCCTGATCTGATAGCGATGGCACCGGGTGGTTTGGAGAACTGGTAGCAAAAATCTCTGCCCTCCCCCCCTGTGCCCAGCTGACGCGTGGGATCATCAGAGGCTTTTTAAAAAAAAATTAAAAGAATTTTTTCTACAACCTCTTTGGCCGAAAAAAACTTTTAAAAGAAAAAAAAGCCTCTGATGATTGCACAGCTCAGCTGGGATCGTCAGAGGCTTTTAAAAGCATTTTTTAAATCACCACTTCGGCTGAAGAGATTGTAGAAAAAATGCTTTTAAAGAGGTTTTTTTTTAAAAAAAAGTTAGCCATGCCCACACAGGCACATTAGCCCCCCACCAAGCCATGCCCACAGAACCGGTAGTAACAAATTTTACATTTCACCGCTGGTTTAGATAAAAATGTACTTTGCACTGCATTTTTGGGTTGATATAATCATTAGCTGGATCTGGACATAGTCATGGATAACAGACCTTTTGAAAGAAATTAGGTTAAGCACAACTTATTTGAGTTCCATTTATTGTAATGGATCATCAACTCCCAGAATTCCCCAGCCAACATGGTCTCCAGGCAAGCAGAATTCCCAAACCAGCAAAGTCTGTACATTTTAAAAGTTGCCAAGTTAAAGAACATAAATTTAAATAGGAGATAAGATTTAGTGTTTCATTTTAAATGATGGAAAGTTCCTTTTAGGTCAGAAATCAAAGTTTTTGTACTACTCATTTGACTTTCTCTCAGTAGTAGTAGCCACCATGGCCAACATCAGGACTGGTTGGAATTATAGAACGACATAAGAAATGCTCAGGGTATCATTTTAATATACAATATTGATAATCTGGTAGATTTGTCCAGAAAAAAAAACAAAACCAAATCCTCCGGAATGAACCTTTTATAAACTGAAGGAATTCTGTCTTCCGCAGAGGTTTCCTGAAATATAAATGTAAAAATATTTTTCCTTAGTTCTTGCTCATATAGTTTAATTTGGCAGTGGCTGGCATTTGCAGAAGATTGATTCAAAGGCCACAACATACATAGGCCATGAGAATGGCTTTTTCTTTTCTCAATTATAATTCAGAAAAAAAGGACATACTGGGATGGTTCCCAAAGTAGAAAGGTATCATTTATCATAAGCTTAGATTTTAGGCAAACCTGGCTTTAATTCTGTGGAGATGTTACCACTTAATGAATGTTAGGAAAACTACCTACCTTTGTGGACTCCAACTAAAATATTCTGGCCTTTTGCCAAATGCTCACTCACAATGCTCAAGATGATATTCCAAAACAACATGTGTGATTTGTGATACATATACACACACCCAGCCAAGCTGGCTTCCTCTGTTTCAGCTCCCACATTCAGACATGAAGCTGTCTTGTGTGTCATCCTCTCCCACAAGCCTTCCCTCCTTAAGCAGGTCATGAGGGGCTGGTAAAGAAGCTGGACTGGAATGTGGAGCCAGCCAAGCACCCTGAGGACAACAAGGCTGCTTAATTGCTTTGATCTAAATTAAGGGAGCAAGTTGGCGTGCTTCCGGATTCTGATAGGTCAAGAGCATAGCATAGTGGTGGCAACCTGACACATCGAAAATTGCACCCAACAAAATGCTCTCGGGGTGTACAGATGAGTTTTTGTTCCTACAAACACAGACTGCCCCATGACAGTCAGGAAGGAATTTTCCCCTAGGGTCACCATGGTCACTGACCCAAGTTTTTTTCTTTAGCCTTTTTTTTTTCAGGGGGGAGGGAGGGTAGGAGATGGCCTGATGCTTTGCTCATTTGTCTGAATCATCTGAAGTTTTTCCCATATGGGATGGGTTTTGTTCATGTTGAGTATGAGGTAGCCATGTGATTGTCAAAGCAAGAATTTCCTCCCCTCCCCGGGTGACCACCAGAGACAAATTGCATTTTGTTTCCACGCTTAGCTTGCTTGAATCATCTTGCACAATGTTGCATTAAATGTACGATATCTACTGTTTGCCTAAATGCATTGTCTAGTGTGAATTTCATAACCCAGCCTCCTCCCGAGATATTACAATATACTTACAGCCATCTATAACAAATGAGATATAGTCCCTCACTTCTAGTGCTTTGATGAATTTGGAGTAAAAAAAAAAAAGTCAACTTTAGTCTTGTGGAATATTCATTTTAATATCTATAGAGATTTTCAATCATCTAGACATGGTTGCCCCAAAGATGCTTTTCAAAAAGGCACCTGGACTTTTTTGGTTTATTCCTTGAAAATGGCTCGCTTCTCATTCAAGAAGCGAGTTCTGGATGTTCTGGATGAGAAGTGAATAAACCAACAGAGTCCAGCTGACTTTTGGAAAGACATCGAAGGATTCATTTTAATAGAACTCCGCAAACTTCACCAGTCAGAGCTTTTTGCTAGCAACAAATACTCATAATTAAATAATTATGAACCTGAGAATCTGCTCTGAGGTCAGAACTATCTGAAGTTTGCTCCCTTTTCATATATTTTCCACCCCACCCACCTCCAATTTTAATTACTTTAAAATTTCACTTCTGTAGTAATATTATGATAGACATTTTATTAACTCTATTGTTAAATTACTGGGAATATTTGACAGTTGATCTTTGCCCAACAGATTGGCTTTTTTCCAGCAAAAACAAAAGTCCCATGAATATGTATATTTCCTATCATAACCGAGACCTACAGAGCAAAATGTAGTTTTCTTTGGACATGAGGGGGAGCTCTTTCTTTAATCTTGTAGATTTGAATGATATCTCTGAGTCTATCAGTTGTGTTTCCACCTCCACTTTAGCATTTTCCCTTGGTTTTTTTTTTTTTTTTTACTAGCTCACATACATGTATGTTTGCTTACATTCAGCATAGTTGCTCCCTTTATATATTTTTCACCATCTAAAATGGAATACTAATGGAAGAATCATCTATTAATTGCAGTTCCTTTACTAGAAAAATATTCTAACACATTGTATTTTTCCACCTTGAGCAGAAGTAGATTTGATGCACTTTACTAGAACTAAAAAGGTCCAGAAATGCCTTTTCCCTTTTGTTTGGGATTTTGATAGTTGAAGTCCAGATATATAAAAAATATGAGACTGGAAATTGTTCCTCTGTTATCAACAATTTGTAAGGATTTTAGATTATTTCAGATTAAATCATCTGGTCTGTTCTTGTGAGTTCACAATCCTATCCTATTGCAGGTTAAAGAATTATCAGCCAGTCAATATAGCTGCATTTTAATTGACTGCACAGAATAAAAACTTGCCAATTCCAAAGCAATAGCATTTAGACTTATATATCACTTCACAGTGCTTTACAGCCCTCTCTAAGCAATTTTACAGAGTCAGCATATCGCCCCCATCAGTCTGGATTCTCATTTTGCCCACCTCGGAAGGATGGAAGGCTGAGTCAACCTTGAGCCAGTGAGACTCAAACTGCCGAACTGCTGGCAGTCAGCAGTCAGCAGAATTAGCCTGCAATACTGCATTCTAAGCACTGTGCCACCATGGCTCTTCCATTGATTACCAACTGCAGAGAGATTTCCCCTGCCCCCAGAAGAAAAATCGATGTTTCTCAATTACACAAAGCAGACTTTGTTCCCAAGTTTCCCTGCTTCCTTGTTTTGATTAGGAAGAGTTTCTGTCTCTACTATCTTTGATCCTTTATTCTTTCTTCCCACCCGCCACCCACTTCCTTTTGTTTTACTTATACTCTTTCTCTAGAGTGGGATGTAGATGGAGTCACACAACTCTACAATGGTATTGGGAAGATTTCCAGCCAGCTAGGCCACTATTCCAGCCCTGCCCTAAGTTTCATCATGGCAGCCTTCCCAATCCCAATGTTTAGCATCCTTGAAAGACTTGTAAAACCTTTTGAGCAAGCTTTTGTCACCTGACGTTTTTGCAATGAGCCACAATTCCCTGCTTCTATTAATACATTGGTTGGTAGACCATTTTAGAAATTGGCTTGTAGTCCCACTTTTCAAAAGGAATGGGGGGATATGTTATTTTCTTGTACAGATTCCTAAAAAGAGTTTAGAGCAGAGATTGCAATTACCCCTGTGATTTACTCTCACAAACTTTATGCATTTTAGGATTAGATTGACGAATAGTAATTAGATTCACTGTTTATGCTAAGTCAAAACTAAACAAAACAAAGGGTTGCCTAGCATGGCCTCTACAGTCAGGCATAATTGTAGTTCATGATTTAGTGCAATTTGTGAATCCATATCAGATCTTTGAACTGTCTAATCCAGTCTTTCCAAACATATCTGAAATACAAGGATTTGAGCCTGTTATTTGTTTCATGAAAAGTCTTGAATCCACTGAGCCACAGAGCTCTCCTTGGACTGGACAGGTAATACTTTTCCTTGTGTTGATGGAGGAAATGCAGAGCTTTATCTTTGGTGGGGAAAGGGCTGGCATAGAATAGAATTAGAATTAGAATTAGAATTAGAATTAGAATTAGAATTAGAATAGAATAGAATAGAATAGAATAGAATAGAATAGAATAGAATAGAATAGAATAGAATAGATGCAGCCTACTCTACAAATTAAATAATATTCTCTTTTTCTTGCAGGTTAAAATTTGGTTCCAGAACCGGAGGTCTAAATTTAAGAAATTGTACAAAAATGGAGAGGTCCCCTTGGAACACAGCCCGAATAACAGTGACTCCATGGCTTGCAATTCTCCACCATCTCCTGCCCTCTGGGACAGTAATACTCATAATAACCCAGCCAGCAGGAGCCAAATCCCCCAGCCACTCTCTTATACCTCTCCCACAAACTACCTGGAAGATCAAAATTCTTGGTTCCATCATCAAAATCTGAATGGGCCTCACATACAACAACAGGGACCTCCGCCCACTGCTGGCTCTATGCATCACCCATCTCCAGGGCCTCCTCCCAATCCTGGAGCACTTTATTAACCTCCTTTCCCTCCTCAATGAAACCAGTGGAGCAGGAAAAAAGGAATGAGGGAGCCAGAGAGGGAGAAACAAACAGAAGGCAACAAGTTAAAACCCTTTGATACGTTTCACAGAACATGTACACATTCCATCTCATCTTGGTACCAAGTGAACTACAGCAGGGCTAAGACATTAGGGGAGGCCTCGGGGGGGGGGGGGGGTTAAAGAAATGTGAAAGGGAGGGAAACTATTTGCAGCCCATGTTGTATCTCAATCAAATCAGTTTCATCAAGAACTCTGTTACCCACTTCCTGGATGATTTCTCTCTGAGCTAATTGTTCCCAATTTCCAGCTGGGTAGCTCTCAGCATGGTTAGAGAAAAGCAAAGACCTGCATGACAAAGGAGGGAAAAAAATGTCCTTTTTTCCTTTTGGTTTTGCTTCGTTTTATTGGTTGATGGCCTCTCCAAGCAGACTGGTTTTGAGAGGTATCAACTTCATGTGTCTTCTGAAAGATTGGTATGGCCGCAAATACCAATCAATTATTCATGTCTATTACAGGAATAGGCTTGAGCTGTTAGCTACACATGTAGTTGGGAATGGGAACAATGTATGATATCCAACTCTTTCTCATTCTGCATACCACCTTGGAAATAATGTTCCACTGGAAATTATAGCAATGTTCTACATAAGGAAAGGGAGAGGTAGATGTCAACAACTATTAATGTGATAGATTTTGTAATCACTTTAGGGTTAAATTCACTTCATAGCCAGATTGATGTTATACAAAACTGGTCAGTATATAGTGTTAATTTACAGTAGTGCTACTGGCTAGCACAAAAAAAGGATGAGGGAACCCGGGGAAAAAACAATACTGACCCTAATGTTTATTTTGGATTTATACGGAGTGCACTGTGGGATTTATTGCAGATTAAAAAAGAAAAAAAAAGTAAAATTAAACTTTTGTACTGGTTTTTCATCTGGTGATGGGGAAAAAAAAGTGATCTATATTAGCCCCGGTTAATAGTCTTGTCTTGAGTGTTTAGGGCAGATACTTCACGCCATAAAAATAAATGAAGAATTCTAATACACAAGGGAACAAAAAAAAAAATTAATCCTTATAATTCTCAGCACATACTGTTAAACCAAGGGTTTTTTGACAATTTTTAAAAATAAACTCTAGTAGCTTGATTTACTTAACATTAAATCACAACTCAAGGTTAACAAACCAGAATTCCTGGCTTCATTCAACATGCTAAACCAGAGCTTAGGATGTTACAGTGCAGATAGTGCTTCATTACCACAACAGCACAAAATTTCTATAGCGAAGTGACAGTTTTCAAGTAAGTTTTGCCCCATTTTAAGACCTTTCTTGACACAATTATTAAGTGAATTACTGCACTTGTTAAGTTAGTAACAACAAACACAGTTGTAAGGTGAATATGGCTTCCCCATTGACTTTTTTGTCAGAAGGTTGCAAAAAAATGATCACACAACCACCATTAATATGACTCAGCTGCCAAACATCCAAATTTTGACCATGATGCTGCAATGATTATGTGAAAAACAGTCATAAGTCCCTTTTCTCATTGTAACTTTGTACAGTAACTAAATGAAAGAATTGTAAGTCAAGGACTGCCTGTATGGGGTCACACAAGGTACGAATACCATGCTTTGCCCAATTAACTATCACGGGTTCATAGAAAAATAGTAAATAATCCATCAAAGTTAACAAACTACTATAGATGGGTTTGTATGGCAATCTAGGTTAAAATCAACCAAAGCATAAACCTTAGCACAATTGTGTAAATATGACCTAGGCTAATATATTTGAACATATTTAAATATATTTAGCCACATTTGAAGCTCTTCAATCAACTGATAAAGTTATATTGTGGAAGTGCTAATTATGCATAGAATTGGGACATCAAAGACACGGATTCTCTGCTCCAGGCCAAGTATAGAAAACTAGGCTGACAAAGTTTGTCTCAAGGAATGGAAAGGTCATGAAGAGGGGGAAAAGAAAGTGCCAGTCATCTTAGGTAATTCCAGGTGTACTATAGAGTAAGACTACATATTCGTTACTCCATTTCTTGAATTTGAGCCCACTGATATCAGTGGAATTTGTTTTCATATAACTATGAGGAGTGCACTGTAGGAATCCTAATTTTTGCTTTGGTCAAAAGCAAAATCTGACAACACGATGACCAGGGGAAATAACACCAAAGTTTCTTTGCTGTCTTAGTCTCTGCTTATTCCAGCATCAAACAAGAGTTACTTCAGGTTGGAATTTAGAAATATCCCAAAGAATAAAAATAACACAAACATTTGATTCCGGTTGAGAAGCTGACCTTCATTTAGTTTTTTAAAAAAAAATGATTCAGGAGAAATATTTAAAAGTTAGGGAGATATTTAAAATACTTCAGAATAATTTAAGTTATTTTTTTTAAAAATAAAGTAATAGTTGTGTGTTGCTCTAAAGTTATTTTAAGCTATTATCACAGAGGAAAGCTTATTTTTTAAAGCAAAAGCCAGAACAAATCCATCTTGGATATTTTTTAAATAAAGCTGTGTGGGTTTTTAAAAGAAAAAATAAGAGCTATAACTTGAATAAGCAATCTCTTATGCTGTACAGTGTCAGGGTTCATATTTATGTTGCCTGGTATAATAAATAAGGAGAGTACGGTGAGGGGAATGTATATATGGCTTTATATAAATCATACTTTAAATTTAAAAAAAACTTTTTTCTTTTTAGGGAAATTTTAAAAAAAAACACCATTTCACTGAGATGGAAACTTTGCTTGAGATTCCTTTCTGCTTTGGTAGCAAACAGAAAACCTTTCTGTATAATATTAATAAAATATTTTTTGAACCTCACAGAATAAGACTTTTTTTTTTGCTTAAGCAGCTTTGGTTGAGGACTATGGGTTTTGTAAATGTAGATTCAGAAACATTCTTTTCTTCCTCAAAGTTCTCATTCCAGGATACTGTGATCATGCAGTAAAATGTATAAAATGTTTAGCATACTCCTTTAATGGAATCTATGAAAAAAGATATGGAATGGGTGATTTGAATAGTCATTTCCAAATGATATAATTGATGTCCTAAACTTGATGCTATATAGATCTATTGGTATGCAAATTTCAGAAATTCCAAATAGAATTTGAAGTGTTAGCAGTTTGGAACGGTGGCTTTTCTATTCATCCCAGGAATATCAGAAATGTAACCATATCTTTTACCTGCAGGGACACATCAGCAATTGTAACAGAGGTGGTATGGGAGAATATTCCAAATGCCATGAGCAGAAGATCCTGGGCTTAAGACATTAAGTGCTTAGTTGACATTATGAAATCCACTCTGCCTTGTGTAGACAGTAGTGTTCAAGAGGTCATAGATCCATAATAAAAAATGGATCTCAAACATTCTTCTTTTAAGATGCATTTGGGAAAACAATATGAATGGAGAAAAGTCAACCTGAGCTGCCTAATACAAAAGGTTTCCTGAAAGGGTAGAAAGATAGGATGAATCCAATTCTTTAGGACAGGTTTTGAACTGGTAGAATAGATGCTCTACACATTTTTTGCAGCCTTCTAGAACTCATAGGTGTTTTAAAGCAGGTAAAAATATTTAAAATGAAGTAGACAAATCCAGATCGGTAGCACAGAAACACATCCATGGCTTTTGTTGGGGTTCTGATAAGATACCAACCCTGCTGTTTTCCTTGGGTCTTCATTTTTTAAAATTATTATTATTTAACAAGAGAAGGACTCAATATTTTATTCAACTTCAGTAATATAACATTGTGAATATCAAAAAATGACCATTGATGGGACTCAACAAGAAACTGGCTTGTTTTACGGAAGGCCCTGGTCAGGCTTCCATGGTGAATTCCAGGAAGTTCTTGAGTAAGCTCTTTAGGGCTCCTTGTGAACTTTGGTGGAGCAATTATTATCGTAAAGAAATGAAGACATATTGGATTTCTCAACCTGTGGGAAATGAATGAACTTGAAGAATGGTTGAAAAAATGGAGCAGACTGTGCAACTATGACTTGAAACTTTGAGAAGCACCAACAACAGTGGTGGATTTCAAATAATTTCACCATCGGTTCACCGAAAATGTGAGTGCATGTGCATGTGTTTGTGCGCACATGGCTTCTGCGCACACACGGCTTTCACACATGTGCACATACGGCTTTCACACATGCGCACACACGCGGCTTTCGCACATGCATGTGCGCACAGCTTCCGCCTCACGTGACCGTGCAGCTTTTCAGGGCCTGGTCCCCATCTCTGCTCTCTGGGATAGCAGCTACTTCTCTCTGCATTGCTGGGAGAATGCCTTGTGCAATTTAGCAGCTGTGAGCCGCCGCTTTCCTCTAAGTCCATCCGGACAGCTCTGCGGCACAGAGAAGTAGCAGCCATGTTGAATGCTGTTTCTTTCAGCCGCAGCGCTTTCAGCTGAAGCAGCTGCTGACCCAGAGAGTACATGGAGCATATCCACAAGTGACTGAGGCTCGGCAAGGGACAAGAAGTGGCTACAAGATCTCTGCTGCAGCACTTTCCGGATGTCCAAACCAGCTGAATACTACCTCTGACCAACCATGTATGTTTGTAGAAATAGATATAACTAAGTATTAACAATTCCCAGTGCATACAAGTTCCCCTGTGTTTTTCGATATAGGGCCACATTTAGAATTTTAAAATATTTTTTGAGCGCTCTCATAAAATGTTTTGCCATGATGAGTTGATTTAATCACAAAACACTGATATAATAACAGGAAAAAAGTAAGGTGCTGCAGACACCAAAATAATGTGGAATGTAAAGACATTGTTGGACATTCAGTTTGTTTAAAACTGGATTTTGTTTTTGCAGCATGATAGCTTCCCTTTGATTTTGAAATTCAAAACAATCTTTAAAAATAGGTAAGACAGAGTAGCACAAAAGCACATATTTTCAAGCTCTCTTACTTTATCATTTTTTTAAAAAAAATGCTGTAAAAACATGGCTACCTGAGGTATTATCTGGGGGATGCAAGCTCTCAGCATCTTTTTCACTGTTCACATAATGGACATCACAGTGGTCATCCAACTAGCAGATATGGTAGCAGCAAGTAAATCCAGAGTGACCAGAAAAACTAGTTAAAGACTATTGCTAAGAGTCAAATATATGTTGAAATTGCGGGGAAACCTTTCTAACCAGCAGATATCCTTGAAACTGATAGACAAATGCCCAGAAGAGAATGTTTTAAAGATGTTTACAGTAGAAAGATGTATAAGGTAATAATTTTTGCCTAGTAGGGAGGCTGATACTCATTTGCTTTTTTGTTGGAATTACTGGAATATATACATTTTTAAGTAGATGGGTCAAATGCCAGGTTGTCATTGATTGTAAATAGAATCACAAATTGTAACTAGGTTATGTGGAGTAGGCAACATAGAATGTTGTCATAATTTTCAGGTCCTGTGAAGGCTCTCAGCCAGTTTTGGTGTTGCTTCAATTGGAAGCTTGGAACCACCATTGTAGAGAGGGTCTGGGTCTTCTAGAGATGTTTCCAGGATCAAACTGTGATTTACAAGGGAGCAAGAGTTTGAGGCACTTGGTAAGTTAATACAATAGGAAATTCTAGAGCCCTCCTCAATACATGTAGCATTAACAAATGAACAAGAATAATATTCCAGTGAAAACCTTGCTTCTTCAGGAAGATCATATTAATTAAACCAGATTTCTTCTGCCAGAAATGGAGCTCATGGCAGAAGTCTTTAGGAAAGACAGCATATTTAGGCATATTTTCTGTTTTGTTTGATTTTGAATTTTTTAGTTGCATGGCTAGAATCTCAAAGTTGAAGTAGCTGAAAGTTTAAGGAAGAAATGTCTACAGGATCAGGTTCCATATGAGGTGAGATAGGTGAAGATAAGAATGATGATCACACACACACACACACACACACACACACAAAACCTGGACTCATTACATGAGAATGGGTTTCTTTCCATATTTGGCATAGTTTTGATTGAGTAGGGTGCATTATGTAGTTGTGGGGTCCCACTTTGAGTCAGAAAAAGCAACGAAAGGTTATTTTCTTCGTCATATCTTATGAATCAACTTGAAGTGGTTTTGCAAGCTATCGTTCACTCTGAACCAATGAGATATTAAGTGCCAAATTCATTTAAGTACATATTAATGGCAGACACGGACAGAAATATGTGATTGAAGGATTACATTGAGACAATGGAGACAAGATACTGTAGGGTTCAGCTGTAATAGACCCAGCATCCAATAACCCAGCCCAGCACCCTTGACTTAGAATTTTCCTTTGTCACTAGATAGCCCTCTCTTTGCTCCTGGTAGTTACCCTGTGCTTTCACATCAATGTGATGAGCAGAGATATGAATCATAGCCAGGTTGGTGCTGTCTGGAAATCCTTTTTATTGCAGTACTTCTGTTTGGAATTCTGCAAAAGGGAAGCCAGAGTTCTGCTATAGTTTCAAATAGTTTCATAACCTAGTATCCTGACATAAATGATAGACTGATTATATGCCATTGGCAACTATAAGACAGTTCTTCTCCATGGTGTTTTGTTTCCAACCTGGTCTTTCAGGTCTTCCAAAAATGCACCCACTGTTGCTGTAATTGACTCTATCCCCATTACTGCTCATCATCCTCTTCTCTTTGCTTCCACTTTCACAGTATTAGAGTCTTCTCCAGAGAGCTAAGCCTTCACATAATGTACCTGAACTAAGATAAGTTGTATCTGGTTATTTGTGCCTTGAGTGAGAACAGTGGGTTGATTTATTTGATGATTTGTTTCTGGAATCTGGAATTTTTACATTTCAGTCTCCAGTCATAAGCACAACATCTTGTCTTGTCAATTTCAAATTGAACTTGATCCTACAAGCCTTCAACTTTCTGTTCTTCTGTGTTGTTACATGGAACATTAACTTGAATGATTATAATATTAAAGGGTTGTCCACAAATCTAATTGATATTTTTCAGTCATTGACTGAACTGTAGCCACTTATACCCTTATTTATACCCTTTCTAAGTATAAAAGCAGTGCTGTTCCTTGTTCTCAGGATTTAACAATTAGAACTTCTGGCTGAAAGTGTCCAGGCCCAGCCCATTTCAATTCACTGATGCCTAAGATGTCAATCTGCAATTATTTCGTCTTTCAGAAATAGTAGGTTATAATTTCTATCACCACAACATATCAATATAGCCTGGGATAATGAATTCTAGTACAGTACATTTGAAAATTGCCAGAGTGGTAAGAAATGGGACTAAACTATGTTGCTCCTAGTGATTTGAAAGAAGGCCAGGATTCAGATGATTATTCTCCCCACAAGATTTATATATTTCCTTGATATATATTATTATGTTTATCTGTAGCCCCTATGAAAAGATCCTAGTAAATGTCTGGACATCTTCTTTGGCTCCTACCAGATTTTCTCCCTCACCGGATAGATGGATGGATGGATGGATGGATGGATGGATGGAAGGAAGGAAGGAAGGAAGGAAGGAAGGAAGGAAGGAAGGAAGGAAGGAGGATCTAGCAGTTGCAAAACAACACCAAACAAAGCTCCAGCAGTTCCAACATCATCTTCATTCCCAAGAATGACTCTGTGTCCCCTAAGCTTCTTAAAAATGCAAATGACAAGAGGCTGCCACACACAATGCAAAAGATGACAGCATATTTATTGAAGATTAAAATGATTCTTTAGTAAAATGAATGCAAGTAGAATGAAGATAGACCAGGATTGGAAGTTCCCTTCCTGATCTATCTTACATTTATGATTTATATTCCATACTTGGGTCTCCAGGAAGGCTGACTTCTGGTTAGATTCTCTCCAGGCCATGTCTTACCTCTTCAACCTACATCTCTTTTC